AAATAAGACCCCTTAAATATATGTTGAACATAATGAATTTTTTAATTTTTTTACTGTGAAAGAACATAATGAATTTTTGTCAGCAAAATATAACTACGCATGCACATAACATTTAGTGTAAAGTTTTGTTTAGGGGCTCAAACTCTGGGCCTGGATACTTGCCCTGAGCTCCACCACTTGATCCACAGCACCACTTCTGGATTTTTCTGTCATTAATTGGGGATAAAAGTCTCTCAGAATTTCCTGCTGGCTTCTAATCAAAATCCTCATATCTCAGGATCCTGAGAAGCTAGGATTACAGGCGTGAGCCACTGGTGCCTGGGTCTTTCCTTCCTTTTTTTTTTTTTTTAATGCTGGTTTGGAACTCAAAGCTTTATTCTCTTACTTGGATTTTTTTCAATCAAACTGATGCTCTGTCACTTGAGGTACATTTTGATTTCTGTCTTTTTGCTGGTTAATAGGAAATAAAATTCTCATGGACTTTTCTGCTAGGGCTGGCTTCCAACCTTGATTTTTAGGTCTCAGCCTCTTGAGCAGCTAGGATTACAGTCACAAGCCACAATGCCCATATTGGTGTAAAGTTTCATGTTCTTCCAGACTTCCTGTTAAATATCTGTTATATACATTCTAACTGGATGATATTCATGCTCATGGTTTTAGTTGTCTATTTTATATAGATGACCTCCAAAGTTCTAAGTTGATTTTGGCTTCACCCTATAGGTTAAGTTGCATATCTTTGCTCCCTTTCATTGCTTTGGTGTAGATAGCCATGTCCTCTCAGTCATACTACTGCAATAGCTTCCAACTTATCCCCCCTGCCTTCAGGCTTCTTGCCTTTGCAATTTATCCTTCACAGAACCCCCCGTGATATATTTCTCTGACCTTTTCCACTCCAAGCTCTAATTCTCTATTCCTTATGGAAGCAATCCCAAGTCTTGTGTGGTTCACAAGCCACTTTTTGTTGTTGTGGTGGTGCTTGAACTCTGGGCCTGGGCACTTTCACTGTGCTGTTCAGCTCAAGGCAAGTGCTCTACCACTTGAGCCACAGCACCACTTACAAGCCACTTTTTAAGTGGTTCATTACACTTGCACCTTTGACACCTTCCCATGCATTTCTACTTCACTAGTAAAGATAAACTGCTGTTAAGTGTAATTTGACTCTTCCTCTTACTACATTCTGTATGTCAGGTTTCAGTGTCCTGAACTTGTTTTCGTCTTGACTTTTATTCATGTACACCTCCTTGTTTAGACCACTGTTCCAGATTCTGCATGCAGTTTTCCACCCAGAAAAACCCCTCCTAATTAAAGGTTTCTCGTTACCTTCTTACACTGTCTAGAATTCTGGTACTATCAGGATTGATAGTTGAGAGGCTTATTAAAAACTTTGAGAAGATACAGCTCAGTGATAGACTGCTTAACTAACATAATACCCATAATACTATAGGTTTAATCTGAGGCGCTGTAAGAAAATAAACCAAACTAGGATTACAGGCATATAGTCCTAGCTACTCTGGAGGCTGAGGTCCGAAGATCATGGTTTGAAGACAGTTTGGGAAGAAATGTCCTGGGCTTATATGATGATTTCCCCCACCAATCTTTACAAATGCATTGTCTATAACTAGTACCAAAGCAGTTTCCTTTACTTTTACAATAACTTCTCTCTCTCTTTCTTCCTTCCTTCCTTCCTTTCTTTCTTTTTTCTCTCTCTCACTCTTTCTTTCTCTCTCTTTCACTCTCTCTCCTTTCCTTCCTTTCCTCCTCCTTTTCTTTCTCTCTCTCTCTCTTTCTTTCTTTCTCTCTCTCTCTCTTTCTTTCTTTCTCTCTCTCTTTCTTTCTTTCTTTCTTTCTTTCTTTTCTTTCTTTGGTCATGGGGCTTGAACTCTAGGCCTGGGCACTGTCCCTCAGCTATTTAGCTCAAGGCTAGCGCTGTACCACTTGAGCCACAATGCCACTTCAAGTTTTCTGGTGGTTAATGGGAGATAAAAGTCTTGCAGATTTTCCTGACCGGGCTGGCTTTGAACCCCGATCCTCAGATCTCAGCCTCCTGAGTAGCTAGGATTACAGGCGTGAGCCACCATGCCCCGCTTACAATAATTTCTTTTAAAGGTTTATTATTTTTTTTAGTAATTTCTAAGACCACTAACCCTAGAAATCACACGTCTTTCTTTTTAACTTATATTTTATAGATTGTTTAATGTTTGAAGTGCCTATGATGCAAAAATATGGTTTGTAAATATACATGCAACTGATGAGAACAAACATCCTTCCTGATCAACATGCAACAGTTATCAGTCAGTCAGTATTCTATAGAGAAAATGGAGATATCTAGTAATCTGGCATGTTATTGGATGGGGTTGATTAAGAGAATTTCTAATATATTTGTTTTGTTGCTTATTTTTGTGAGAATATGAGCTCTCACAAGGCAAGGACTATGTATTTTTTCAATTTTGTTTAGCCTTTATACACAATTCCTACTTAATTATAAATACTTAATATGTATCTACTTAATAGATACTTAATATGTAATTATTGGATTGATAAACATATCCTTATGTAAGTTATACTAAATTAGAATAATCAGAACACTGGTTTGTACTGATTATTTGTACAGACAGCTCATTGACATTGAGACCTTGCAGGTTTGAATCCTTTTCTTTTTGGGGGGAAGGTTACTAGGGAACAAATACTGGTATTTGCTAGGCATACACTTTTCCAACGAGCCACATTCCCAGCCCCACATTATATTCTTGAATACATTGATTTCCCTTTGTCAACTGAGTAATGGGGACATGATTCATGTCTCAAGTGGTAAGATCCTAGCTTCAATCTGCAGTACCTTAAAAATAAAATTTCACATTTGAGGAATGGAGTTTACAACAATCTTTGGGATGTGTGGGGATTAAGTGATGATATGAAACATCTAGTATAGTAATAAACATTAGTCCCAGGGATGCTTATAACTAATAAGTATGTGTACTCATTACCTTGCTCATGTGATTGTAACCCCTGTGTACAGTATTTTCACAATAAAAATCTTTTTTTTGTGTGTGGGGGGTCTGGTGGTGGAGCCTGAACTCTGGGCCTGGGCGCTGTCCCTCAGCTCTTCAGCTCAAGGCTAGCGCTCTACCACTTGAGCTAGAGCACCACTTCCGGCTTTTTTTCTTTTTGCTTATGTGGTGCTGAGGAATCGAACCCAGGGCCTCAGGCATGCAAGGCAAGCGCTCTACCACTGAGCCACCTTCCCAGCCCTCACAATAAAAATCTTATTAAAAATGATGAAACATATAAGATGGGGTGTGGGTACCAGTGGAGAGGGCAAAGGAGAGCATGAAGGAGGACAAATCTGGTCAACATATTTCATGAACATGAGAAAATAGAACAATGAAGCTTACTGATAATGGTTCTGGAAGGAGGAAAAGGAGGTGAGGGAAGAATATAGAGGAGATGAGTCTGACCACAGTCCTTTATATGTATAAATGAATGTGTGAAAACAACCTTCCCTTTGCTAAATTAATGCTAATAAAAACTTGGAAAAAATGACAAACAAAAAAAAAAGAGACCTGAGCAATAAGATGTTTGCATTTCCTTTGTGTTTTTTTGATGTTTTGCACAGCCTTCTATAACAAATATATGGATATTTCTCAACATGCCACATTTGTAGATTTGGTAAAGCAAATAATTAATTAGACGATCCTAATCTTAGACCTTGAAAAATGACTTCAAGCTTTAGAATATCATTTGCTAGAGAGTTGAGCCTTCTAATAAAGTGTGAAGGACAGCTCACCTTCATGAATTACTCTTTTTTTTTTTTTCCAGTCCTGAGGCTTGAACTCAGGGCCTGGGCACTGTCCCTGAGCTTCTATTGCTCAAGGCTAAGTACACTACCACTTGGACCACAGTGCCACTTCTGGGTTTTTCTGTTTATGTGGTATTGAGGAATGGAACCCAGGGCTTCATGAATGCTAGGCAAGCACTCTACTACTGAGCCACATTCCCAGCCCATGAATTACTCTTAACACTATAAATATAAGAGCTAAGGTAAGAGGCAGAGAAGGAAGTTTTGAGGAGGCTGTTCCAAACTACACTATTATCTCACACATGGGTTCAAATTTAAGCCCTTCAAACTAGAGATAGGAGGAGACTTTTGTGCTTGAATTCAGGGCCCGGTGCTTCCCTGAGATTTTTTGTGCTCAAAGTTAGCATTCTACCACTTGATACACAGTTCTACTTCTGTTTTTTGTGGTTAATTGGAGATAAGAAATCTCTGGGACTTTTCCTGCTGGGATTAGCATTGAACTACAATCCTCAGATCTAGCTAGGATCATAGAAGTTAGCCTGTCAGATACTTTTTTTTAAATTTTAAATTAACTTTAGGTTTTACTAAAATATAATAGCCAGGAGTTATACATATTAAACATTACTCTTGTCATTGCAAAGGCATATATGCTGGGATGAGGTATAATGAAGTGGTACAATACATGTTTAGCATGTATGAGGGTCAAGTTCCAGCACAGCAAAAGCAAAAAACAAGAAAAACAACAAATCCCAAAATAACCCAAAGGACCCCATAGATATGCATTTGTTATAAATCTATGGGCTGGAAATGTGGCTCAGTGGTAGAGTGCTTGGCTTGTATGCATGAAGCCCTGGGTTTGATTCCTCAGCACCACATAAACAGAAACATCTGGAAGTGGTGCTGTAGCTCAAATGATAGAGTGCTAGCCTTGAGCTAAAGAGCATCCAGGCCCAGAGTTCAGGCCCCATGACCAACAACAACAATAAAAAATCTAGGCTTTGGATTTTCATATTGACTTAAAAACACACACAAAATGTGGGTAAAAAGAAAAAGCTGGAATTAGACATTTATTTTAATGGTCCTTGAGGTCATTTCTCATTGAATAGCCCACATTCTGGTTTGTTTAAATACAAGAGTTAGCAAAAGTCCTTTTAATATTTGTTCTCAAGCTGGTGCTAATACTAAGTTTTAATTTTTATTGCAGGTATTATTTAGCATGGAAAAAGATGATTTCTTTGGAGAAAAAACATTCCAGCATTATTGTGCAGAGTTCATTAAACATTCACAACAGATAGGGGATGGTTGGGAATGGAGAACATCAAAGGTAAGAACAGAGATTTTTATTTTCTATTTCAATGGAGGATTATTTATTTTTGCCTTATAAAATTTCAGTAATTGAATCTAATATCTAAAAGCTGGGTTGATTTAATGAAAAGATTAAATTGAAGAGTGTTTTAAAACATGTCTATTTTACTATTTCCACTATAGATACTTGTTATTATTGGGCTAACGAAGTATTATTTAGTAAAGTCCTTTAATAGATAAGAATGCTTAGTATATCAATTATCTCAATGTAAACAGACACTTCTCTTGAGCTTCAAACAGTTTACACTATGAATTTTCTTAGGAAACTATTTTTTTCCAGAGAGCAAAAAGATTATCCTAAAACCAAGCCATAGTTAAAATATAAAATTTCAAAATGTAAAGGACAGTTTCTTTCAATAATGTAAACAAAGTGCAAAACTTTTTTTTTATTTTTTCAGAAATAATGTGTATTTCCACATATACAATTAGTCAGAGTCTCTGCCCAAAGCCATTTTTAAAGTTCATATTCTTAGAGAATAAATAAGCTTTATGTATTTGATATTTTATCTGACTTCTGAAAGATGATTAATCCTGATTCTCAGAGGATTAGTTCTGAGAAACTTGAACAACTTTTAACTGAGTCTCATGATTCAGAACAGTGAGGGGAGATTGGGTCTCGATCAGGTCCAGAGTGATTTCCTCTTGGATCATATGTCTGTGTTAATCTTTGGCAGAGTTGTTAATGGATGGTTCAAGAATTGTAAGATCCAACTCCCATGGCAGGTTTCAACTCTATTCATTTTGTTGTTGTTGTTGGCCATGGGTCTTGAACTCTGGGCCTGAGCACTGTCTTTCAGCTCTTCAGCTCAAAGCTGGCGCTCTACCACTTGTGCTACAACACCACTTCCGGTTTTCTGGTTGGAGATAAGAGTTTCACAGCTTTTCTTGCCCAGGCTGGCTTTGAACTGAGATCCTTAAATCTCAGCCTCCTGAGTAGCTAGGATTATAGGCGTGAGCCACCCGGAGCCCAGCTCAGCTCTATTCTTTTAAGTAGTGATCAGTCTTCAAGTCTCTAGGCAATCCTTCCAGGATTATATATGATCTGTTGGCATCTTTTGCTATTTTTTCTGAAAAATTAAGCATTTAAAAATCGTTATTATAAAGGCAATGTACTGAGGGGTTACAGTTACTTAAGTCAGGTAAAGAGTACATTTCTTCTGGGACAATGTCATCCCTTCCCTGGCTCTGAGTTTTTCTCTCTTATCCCCATTTCTGAATTTTTTGTAGTCTTATTTATTATTCGTGTTTGAATTTTCATTCAACTTTTTTCTTCTTTGATTATTGCTGTTATGTAAAATAACTTTAATTCTTGTATACTGATTTTGTCTCTACTCAGTCATCTTTCTGAATTTTCCTAATAATTGTCATAGTTTTCAGTCATTCCTTTTGAGTCTTCTTAAGTGGAGTGAAGATCATTGGCACTGAAAAGTTTTTTGATTGTTGTTGAACTCCTTGTTATATTCCTCTCTATTTTATGCATTGACTAGAACCCTGTTAAGTAATAGTGACAACAAGTCTTTGTTTTGAACCTCATCTTAGTATTAATGTTTATGACTAAGTCTATGTCTCCAGGCAGGGAAATGAATCCAAGGCCTTCTACTTGCTAATTCTACTTCTAAATTTTCTTCTCTTCCTCAGCCCAAGTATAGGATTTGTCTTCTTTTGGTTTGTAACAATTTATGAGGTTATTTCTTGAGAACTTCCCCTCTGTGTGTGTGTGTTTGTGTGTGGTTGCCAGTCCTAGGGCTTGAATTCAGGGTCTGACTACTGTTCCTGAGCTTTTCTTTCTTCAAGGCTAGTGCCTTTCCTGCCCAGACTGGCTTCAAACAACAATCCTCAGATCTCAGCCTCCTGAGTAGTTAGGATTACAGCTATAAACCATAGGAAGTTTTTATTTATTTATTTATTGTTTTGTGGGTATATGTGTATACTGGTCCTGGGGCTTTGAAGTCAGGGCCTGAGAGTTATCCCCGAGCTTCTTTTGCTCAAGGCTAGCAATCTACCACTTGAGCCATAGCTCCACTTTTGGCTTTTTTTTTTTTTTTGAGTAGTTTATTGGGGGTATGAGTCTAACAGAGTTAGCTGGCTGTGAGAATGGCAATCCTCTGATCTCAGCCTCTTAAGTAGCTAGGATTATAGCCACCAGCCCCTAGTGCATGCTTGGCTAAATAAATTTTATTTTTATCTTAAATTAGAGGCAAGATGGTCACCTTTTCAGTGACCTAGCAGAATAGAGGAAGAAAATGTATGTAGGGAGGGATCTAGGACTGAATGTGTTTGTGCTGTGGATGAAGGAAGCTGTATCTTTCAAGAGATTCTTCGCTGATGTTGTGAAATAGTATCCCAAGAATCAGTTTTCAGGGTTTTGTTTAATTGTTGGCTTTTCTCCAAAAGGTGTGACTAAATCTAGTTTCTTGGCTGCTCGGTTAGGAAAGGTCACTACCCTTTGGAGTAAGAGTTATACCTTTATTTAGGGATAGTCTTTCAAGTGGGGGTAAGCCAGTAGAGAGTACCAACATAAAATGAAACACAATTTAGAGACCATATCTGAAGCTCTAGGGTGATGACTACAGACTCAAATGTCTATGGTGATCAGAGACTAGGACTTGTTCTATGGCTATCCAGATAGATTGCCTGCAATTTGTGGATTGCCAGGTTGGAAACATGGGCTATAAATTTTAGCAGACTTTTGATATTTCAAGAAAAGTAAAAGCTTTCAGATTTAGGAGACGAAATCTCTGAGTTTAAAATTTTGACAAATAATTTAAAAAGATATATTTCAAACATAGTGAAGATAAAACCAAAACCAAACATGTAGGTGTGGCATGATATGCAGGATACGAATGGTTATTTTGTAACTCTGAGATTGTCTGCATAGGCTGACTGGTTTCTTTTTATAAATTAATTTTTATTATTGTTAAGTGTATGTACAAAGAGATTTCAGTTCAACGTGTCATGTTAGTACAATGTATCTTTCCTTCCTTCCTTCCCTCCTTCCTTCCCTCCTTCCCTCCTTCTTTCCTTCCCTCCCTCCCTCCCTCCCTCCCTCCCTCTTTCCTTCCTCCCTTCCTTCTTTCCTTCCTTCCTTCCTTCCTCCCTCCCTCCCTCTCTCCTTCCTTCCTTCCCTCCTTCCTTCCTTCCTTTCTTTTTTTTAATATTGTATCAATAGAAATACCAGGTTTACCATGGACAAAGCCAAGAAAACCAATGATGCCAGATATTGAATTTCTATTGCACTGTCCTTTGAACACATCAGCAGGAGGTATTGCTGAGTGCAGATACCTTACAGTGCAATCCTTCCTTCCTTCCTTCCTTCCTTTTTTCTTTCTTTCTCTTTCTTTCTTTCTTTCTTTCTTTCTTTCTTTCTTTCTTTCTCTCTTTCTTTCTCTCTTTCTCTCTTTCTTTCTCTCTTTCTTTCTCTCTTTCTTTCTCTCTTTCTTTCTTTCTTTTCTCTCTGCCTGTCCTGGGGCTGAATTTATTCAGGGCCTGGGCACTGTCTCTGAACTTCTTTATTCTCACGGCTTCGGTTCTACAATTGAGCCACAGTGCTTTTTTCCAGTTTTTTGGGTAGTTTAGTGGAGATAAGAGTCAGAGACTTTCCTACCCAGGTTAACTTTGAACCATGATCCTCAGATCTCAACCTCCAGAGTATCTAGAATTACAGGCATGAGCCGTTGGTGTCTGCCTTATAATGCATCTTGAAGAGTGACTGGTTTCTTGTTCAGTTGTACCTGATTTTATACTGCTTAATTAGCAAAAGGATTCCAGGCTGTTTCTACTCTAGTTCAAGTCTGTGTAGCTTCTCAGTAAAGTAATTTTAACAGCCTACCAACATCTTATAATTTATTTAAAAATATCAGTTACAGTTAACCTTTCATTTTTTTATTTTTATTTTGTAAAACTGGTGGATTAGATCTAGGGCCTTGAGCAGGCTAGGCAAGCACACAGTTCTAATATATCTCTGATGAAGTCTCATTTTCAGCATGATTTCTTTGTCTTCAGATTGATCTCAATTTATTTTATAATAGAATATTATAGAAACTTCATAACAGGATGTTCAAGGTTTCACACAGTGGCTTCCTGCTACCCTTCCAGCTTCACTGTCCACTCTAAAACTCATTTCCTTCCATTCTTTTCCCACATTCCCAGAAATGAAGGTAAAACTATTTTGAAAAAAAGAAGTGATTTTTTTTCAGTGCCAGAGAACAAAAAAAGTATCATTAGGGAACCAGAACTTTTGATAACTCTCCAAAAAGGTAGAAAATAGATAGATTGGAAAAGCCAGATTCCAAATCAGTGTTTACAGAAGGCTGTGTAAGTGTAGGAGGGTTGGAAACAGAAAAGGAGTGCTCCAAGTTCAGAGATTTTGAACTAAAACTCAGTTTTTTTCTCTCATTTTTATAAACTGTTTTGAAGTAAAAATATTAAGCTAACAAACTTTAATTAAAGCCTTTTTCCACTAAATTTTGGATAATCAGTTTTACCCTTGAGTATCTTCTTTTGTCACAGTAATGCTTAATATTTACTTTTGCCTTTGTGGTTTACAGTTTTTTTTTTGTTTTTTTTTTAATCTATTAACCCTTCAAGTATGACAATGACCTTAACTAAAGATGTAGGAGGTGGGTCTACGTGTTCAAGTGTTTAAGTTGTGCTATTTGAATTATAACATATCTTCTAGTCATTTTGTGTTTTATCTTTGATTTGAGAATTAGCTCTCATGTTATCAAAATGTATATCTGCTCACATTTCATGTTCAAAACATGGCTATAAACATGAAGACTAAACCCATAGTGACAATGACCACACAGAAATATGTTTGCTCAGCTTTAAAATGTGAAAACTTGACATATAGGTTTCTAGAGCAAGATACTCTTTTGCCTTTTGAGTCAAGTAGAATGTGTTTGTAAAGGTGAGATTATGAATTATCATCTTTGATTATTTTCAGTGATATACATGAAT